TCCATCTCCTTGCTTTTTTTCTTTCTTTCTTTTTATATTTCTCTCTCATCTTGCTCAGATCCTATTCAGGGCCACATGACTTTTCAGGGTACTATTTAGTATATATTCCTCCGGCATATGTGCACACACACACACAGTGATTCACACACATGGGCCCACAGACATGCATAACCATGATGACACATAAATAATTATAGTTACCCAGGTAAGCACAGATGCACACAGTTGCATGGACAGTTGCAATCAGGTCATGTGCAGACATGGCCACACATGAACACTGAGATAAGCTGCAGATATGTGACTGTGTGGTGTCACATGTGCAGCTTGGATGTTAAGTAGCATCCACAGACAAGAGCCCCTCTGTGGCCTCCGAGGAGATCTGGGGCCCTGATGTGCTCTTGGAGTGAGGAAGAGGTATGTGAGGCTTGGGGAGAGGAGGTCAGCTGGGAAGATTTGGACTCACATACAGCCTTACAACACACACGTGCATGCATGAGCATACACACCAGGGGAAATATGCTTTACTTTACTGTCATCTGATTGCCTTAGATCAAATCAGAGATGCTAGAAGTCAGGGGATGGAACATACTGAAGAAAGAGCCTGTGTAACTGGGGCTTGGAAACACTAGCTGCTGGAAGGAGGCTCACCTGTGGAAACCTGTTCCACCACCTCCTGGCTGCATGGCCTTTAAAAAATTACCCAGTTTTTCTCACCTTCTGTTTCCCCATCTGTAAGATGGGGATAATAACAGTCCCTACCTCCTAGGGCACTGGGAGGATTGATGGAGATGTCTGATGTATCCGAGGCACTTAATAAATAGTTGTTGTTATTCATCCATTCATCTGATCTTCATCTCCTGAGTCCTGCCTCTGTTCCAGACTCTGTAATTTGGAGTGTGTGGAGTGTGGAGTCCCACTCTGGGGTATGGAGTCCAAAAATGGACGAGATACGTGCCCTCAAGTTGCTCAGTCTGATGGGGGAGATAGTATGACATATTATCATTGTACTACTCTGCTTCAGGTGTTTAGAGTTCAGAAAATCTATGTAAGGTGCTTTGTGTGGTGAGCTAGGGCTCAGAGTGTGTGCTCAGTAAATGGTAGCCATTACTAGTGGTATCACCATCATCATTTCTATGACCTGAGCTTAGTTATCTGGAGACTGGAGAGGGGAGATGCCTTCTTAGGGAGTTGGGGAAGTCTGACTTTGAGTTGGGGGAAGCCCTATTTCCAAGGAGGTATCATTTGAATTAGGCCTTAATGGAGAGAGAGGAATTTTTAAGGTGAAGGGGGAGAAGGGGAGTGGCATTTCAGGTGGAGGGCCCAGCAGGAGTAAAGGCATGGAGGTGACAAGAGGGAATGGCAGGTAATCTGGTGGGGGTGGGGGCAGCAGACTGGAGGGGTGGGCAGAGGCCAGACTGGCAAGGTCCTGGAGACCTTCAGAGGGCCAGTGGGCTGGAGTAGTGGTGGGGCCAAGAGGGGTACCTCTCCTGGATTCAGTTAATAAAGCCTTGTCTCGCATCAAAAACTGTGAGATCAGCAATAATTAAGTCAATTAAAATGTCACCACATCAACAGCAGTGAGTTTTAAAGCAACAAAGCCCCAGAGTTTGGCAGAGGAGGGGCATTCCAGCCCAGTGGGGGTGGGGGAGGGGAAGGATCAAATTACTTCTAAACTCTGATCCCTCTTCCCCACCTGGAGCTTGTGACACCTTTTGAGCCTGGCTCCCTCCCCACATCCATCAGAACACAAGGATAAATTTCCTCATCCCCACCCTCAAAGAAAAAGGAAAGAAAGAAAGAATGTAAGTGTGACAATCACCTGTAATCCCATCTGCTAGTTCCTGGAGATAACCTCTGTTAACAGTCTGGGGTATAACCTTCCAGACCTTTTTTCTATGCATATTTATACATGCATTACAAAAATGGCATCACGTCATGCAGACTGTTACCTTTTTCTTCCACTCAGTATATTGTGAGCATCAGCACATACAGAGACACATCATTGTCTTAAAGGGTGGCACTGAATTCCATTGCGGGCACGATAGTCCTCTCTTTTACTGAACTAATCCTCTTTGGATGGACAGTGAGGTTTCGAATCCTTTTCCATCATAAGTAGAGCTATGATAAAAACAAAAATTCCTGCACACATATCTATGCGTGCTTGAAGGGTAAATTCCTGGAAATGGAATTGCTGAGTCAAAGGAGACTCTCTAAAGGCTTTTGGTGCAGGAACTAAAGAGTTCTTTTGTCAGTGAGGTAAGATAAGGACCATTTCCTGCTCCCTGAGATAACCATGGGTAATAATTTTTCCTTCTATTTGCTAATCTGATTGGTAAAAAATGGTATCTTATGGTTATTATTTTTATTTCTTTGGTTACAAGTAAGGCTGAGCTTTTGGTCATATGTCAGATGGCTATTTGTGTTTCTTCCTTAAAAAGTTGTTTCTTCATTTACTAAGCCATCTTTTTTGAACGTGACCATCTTTTTTATCTATATAAGAGCTCCTTATATATTATGGATATTCTCTTGGTATATATATGATAAAAAATTTTCCAGGTTTGTTGTTTGCCTTTTAGCTTTGTTTATGGCACATTCTACTGTACAGTGTTTAAAAACTTTTTGTCACCATGTCTATCCTTTTCTCTACCTTTGGAGTCATGTTTGTGGTCCATGGAATGGGCTTCTGTAAGTGAATGCTGTTGACAGGTGCTATGTGTGAGTGTTGACTCAGAAATGTGTGAATCCAGCCCTCAGCTCCTGACCTATATATCCACCTGCCACTTCATTCTTCCTTGGAAGTCAGATCCATAGTTCACACATACCATGTCCCTAAAACACCTTGACTCCCTCCCCTGAACTCCTGCCCCGAACTGCTTCTCCCTGATTCAGGAAAAAAAAACCCATCTTCACTCAGTTACTCAGGCCAAAAACTTGAGTCATCCATATTTGCCCTCTCTTCTTCATGTCTTATGAGTAACCTATCAGCAATCATCTTGATTCTACCTTCGAAATACGTTCTGAACCTGACCACTTCTCCGCATCTCCACCCCTACCTCCCTAGTGGAGGGCACCTGTCCACTGGCCTGGTCTGGCCCTTTCTTCTTGACCCTCTGCAGTTTGTCCTCCATATGGCAGCCAAAGTGAGTTTTTAACAACAAATCGTATCATGTTACTCCCCATTCAAGACCATCCAGCAGCTTCCCATCACATTCCAGGGTAAAATTCAAACTCCTTACAATGAGATACGAAGCTCTCTGAGCTCTGGCCCCCTCCTCTCACTCCAACCTCATCTCCTCCACGTGCTCCTGCCCTTTCTGTGCTCCGGGTACCCCTGTTTTCTTGCAGCTCTACACACATACTAAGCTTGTTCATGCCTTAGGGCCTTTGTTCTTGCTGTTCGTTCTGCCTGGAAAGCCTTTCCCCAGAGCTTGGCATGACTGACTTCAAGTATCCAGCAGCCCTTTCCTGACCACATGTTCTAAAATAATCTCCCCTTTGCCCTTGGTATTCTCTTCCTCTGCCTTATATTTCTGCAGAGCATTTACTCCTGTTTGTTTTCTAGCCACTCCTCTCTTGAAATGTAAATTCCATGAAGGCAAGAACTTGGTTTGGTACTCAGTATGTGGGAGCTTAAGGCATGTTTGTTGAGTGAATACATGTAGTATATGAATGTGTGTGAGTGTAATGTTCATGTGTAGATATATCTGCTACCTGGATAGATACCTGTGAGAATGTATGTGTGTGGAACTGTGGGAATGATGACGATGAATTTGTGAATATTGCTGAGTTTGTATGTGAATTTCACTGCTACTGTGAATGCCCTGTTGAGGATGTCCTTGTATGTGTGTTAGTACATGAAATGTGTGTGTGCTTGTCTGCATCTGTGTGTGTGTGTGTGTGTGTGTGTGTGCTGTGCACGTTTGGTTATGTATAGTCTGTGTCTGTTTCAGTGAGGGGTGGGGAGCTGAGACACCTGGTCACATTCTTCTTCCTATCAAAGGGACCTGCCACACCCCAGCCTTCCCCTCCCCACCCGACATCTGTGTGTCTCAGGGGAGCTTGCAGACATTGGACAACATTTCAAAAATGACATTGCAGACTGACACAGGTTGGGTGCTCAGACGAGGACTAGGAGGGTCCAGAGGAGGCCTGGGGCTGATGGGACCTTGGCAGCCCCATGCTGCCCTGAGCCATCCCAGTAGGAAGGATGCCTTCTGTGATGAATTGGCCACAGAAGCTGAAGTAGCATGGGGCAGGTCGGGCCCTGCATTAGCTGTGTGGTCTCAAGATGACACTGCTCTTTCTCTAAGCCTGAGTAGACTCATCTGTAAGTGGGGTTCATTGCTTTTGGCCTGCTGCATCTTGGGGAAATGGTAAAAAGAGGGAGGTCATAGCAGTGAATGTATGATAGTCATAGCAACAGTGTTCATGTGTCCTTGCAGCACATTAGGGTCTAACCCAGTATCTCATCAGAGGAAATGCCTCAGTGTCCACAGTCTACCTCTGGACACGGCCCATGTGGGCCTCAATGGGTGTTTGTGGAATAAAAAGTGTGTGAGTGAATCCATGAATGTACAAATGAGTAAGTGCCTGGGTCATTAAGCGAAGAGATGACTGCATTAAGCAGTGAAGGGATAAAGACAATGACTACCAGTTTTTAGCACATACTACGAGCCAGGCCTATTGTAAAGGCTTCAGCTTCTCTTAATCCTTGCGACAACTCATGAGATAAGTAGTATCATTAGCCCCATTTTGCTGGTGGAGAAATTGAGCATCAGAGACGGGCTTACCCAAAGCCACAAAGCCCCTGAGTGGGGGAGGTGAGATTCCAGCCCAGGCAGTCTGACCCCAGAGCCCAGAGTATGGGCCACTTCGCAACAGGGAGGGAGATGCTCTTGTGGGTGAGGCAGGCATCCAAGGTCTGGGCTGGGGTGTCTGCCCCAGGGTGGAGTGTGATGCTCTGCCTCATGACCCCTCTCCCTCGTCCCTGTGTGCAGGTACACGCCACGATGCAGCACTACGGAGTGAATGGCTACTCACTGCACGCCATGAACTCGCTCAGTGCCATGTACAACCTGCACCAGCAGGCAGCCCAGCAGGCCCAGCACGCCCCAGACTACCGGCCGTCAGTGCACGCACTTACCCTGGCTGAGCGCCTGGCTGGTAAGGGCCATGGGGACAGTATGTTGTGGATGGACTGTGGGGGCTGGGGGTGGAGAAGAGGTCTGGGGGAAGGCAAAGACAGGAGGAAGGGAGCACAGAGTAAGAGTAAGTTTGTTCTGGGAGGCTCAGGAAGTTCCAGGTCACTTAGCAACAGAGAGAGATGTCAGCTCAAAATCTATGTGTGACCATCCAGGGCACCTTGTTTGCCAGCACTGTGCTGGGCACTGGAGCTGCTCTGTGCCTTCAAGTTCCCTTAGCAACCCTGTGAAGGGGGATTCATCAGCCTAGCTCATAGCTGAAGAGACTGAAGCAGGAGGGTAAGGGACTGGCACAGAGGGCTAGAGCGCCCATGGGAGAGTATTTCAGGCACAGGGAGTCATATAAATAATAACAGCTCCCATTTTTGACCACTGACTGTGTGCCAGGCACTGTGTGAGGCTCTCTCTGTGCATTGAGTCAGTCAACTCTGATAAGGAGAGGTTATTATCTCCATCTTATAGACAAGGAAACTGAGGCTCAGAGAGGTTAAATCTAGGCAGGGGTTGGTTGGGGACTTGGAACTGACATTATAACTCTAAATATAAGCCTTGAAGTCACAGAATGCAGTCATTGTGGGGCCTGTCCACTCGCCTCTCTTCTCTGAGCTTCAGTGTCCCACTCTGTAGATAGGGGACAATGGCAATGCCCATCCCATAGGATGGTTGGGAAGTGATTTGAGATAACATATGCAAAATATCCAGCAGAGATGGGTAGGTGCTCAGAAGTCAAGTGAGTGACCATGAGGGAGCTGCAGTCTGGCCCCCAACTCCTGGTTCAGCTGATGGCTGCTCTGCCCTGACGGTCTCTCAGTGAGCATGAGAAGGATTTGATGGCATAGGTGGGAAACATTCCTGGGAGGCAATGCCACCTGCCCCATCCTGCTCCAGGCCAACCCTTGAGCAGCTGGGGAACTTGTGTGGGCCTAGCCCTGTGCCAGGTGGCCATCAGAGGACTTCAGGGCATCTCCTGGGAAACCAGGTGCCCATAGGCCCATGAGAGGGCATGGCAGGAGTACAGCTGGGGTCCAAGGGCGGGCCTGCAGCAAGCAGCATGATCAGCCTGGGTAGTCAGGGAGGCCTCTGAAGGCCCTGGATCATAAGCCAGACCTTAAAAAGGCCTGGCAAGGAGAGAGGACCAGCATGAGCAGAGGCACAGCATTGGGATAGGATATAAGGACACCGCCTGGGTGGAGGTGCCAGCCGGGGAGGGTGGTGCAGCCACTTCCATTCCTTTAGCCCCTATGAGGCCTCTGGGAAGGGCTCAGTGAATAACACTAAGGCCCTGGTCACCCTCTGTAGGTCAGTGTGGGGCACTTGTCCCCAGGATGATAATGTAGGTGTAGTCCTGCCCCAGCTATGGTTTACTGGTCTGGAGTGAATTCCCTGGGCCTAACCTGGTGGTGATGCCAGCCCCTGACCGTGTTCTGGACCCAGAGACGGGAAGTCAGGGACAGAGGCTCACCTCCACTTGCAGGGACAGAGGAACTTGAATATTCAGCACTCCATCCCAATTCTCTAAATATTAAGAAGGAGAGACATAAACTCCAAGTGGGCCTTTGTGTGGAGGCCTCACCTTCTGGCAGGAGGTTTTGCTGATGGTACAGACAGCCAGGCCTCCCATGTGGCCACCCACCTCTTGCAGCAGTAGGATGCTGAGCTGTCTCTCCCTCAACCAGGGTTCAGCTGACTGAGGGGTCCCACTCCCTCCTCTGCCTCAGGTGACCAGCATGAGCTTGGGGGTCAGTCTGGGCTAGGTCAGCCCCTGTTTGTAAGTGGTTCAGAGCTCCCTCTTTAGACTGAAGAAGGAATAGCCCAAAGTCTGAGGCTTTCTGGATAACCAGTTGCCACCTTCTTTTTCATTCAGTGTGGTGGATGACTCTCCAGCCCCTGGAGCCCAGGGGAAGCACTCTGGCAGCTAAGTCAGCAGAGGCTGACCTAGCTCAGGTTTTCTTTAATAGGGACAGTCCAGGATCTATTTATGGGTGATGGGAGGCAGGGAAAAGAGGTTGCTGTCCATTCTTCAAGGACTAGTCAAGCAGAAGGGTTAGAAACTAGATACCAACCCTAGGCAGACATCTGGATGGTTTTAATGTCACCAGCATGTGGGCAGGACTGTGGAATCAATGGTCTAACAGCCCTGTATCTGCTCCAAGGCTGCAGTGGTTAGAACCTGGTCTCCTTCCTCCCTTCCTTGAGGAAGCAGCCAGAAGGGTCAAGACTGGATGCAACTAGGCTTTCCTTTGTTCTGAGGGCCCTGCCAGAGCTAGGCCTTCTGTGGAGGAGTCATAAAAGCAAGCAGTAGCCTCAGGTCCAGCTGTCAGAGACTCATAGACCAAGCAGAGTGATGAGATTCATACCCAGAGGATACAGAATCAAGTGCCAGTGAATTCTGTCTACCCAGGCAGATATCTTCTAACTAGACCTTGTACTTAAATCCCAGTTCAGCCTGGATTCTCATGGTCAGGCGACAATATTCTGTTGATATCCTGAATCTAAGGCTCGTAGGATATTAGAATGTTTGTGACATGTTAAAGATTATTAGCATCATGTAGTTTCAGAATATTCTACTCATAGCATCCTAGGATCTTAGGGTAATGCTTACCCACCAGCCCAGCTACCCCCAAACCAAATAAGGAAGACTCTCCTTATTCACATTCCTGACAGCTACTCATGGGGATGAATTGGACCTCCTGATAGTGAATGACGGGGTGGAAAGATCTGGAGATCCCAGCCATATGGAGATGGGGTGGGTGATTTCCAAGAGGAAAGGGCCAGGGTTCATCTCCACAGGACCCTGGGTGTCTGCAATGAGTTAGAGCAATGTATGATTCAAACCCTATTTCCCATAATTAAATGGGCGCCCTCTCCTTGCCCTCCAACGGCTGTACATTTCAAGACATCATCTTGGAGGCCCGCTATGGCTCCCAGCATCGTAAACAGCGTCGCAGCCGCACAGCATTCACTGCTCAGCAGCTCGAGGCCTTGGAAAAGACCTTCCAGAAGACTCACTACCCAGATGTGGTGATGCGTGAGAGGCTGGCCATGTGCACCAACCTGCCAGAGGCCCGGGTGCAGGTAGGGCCTAGTCCCTCTAACTAGACCTTGCAGAAATCACCAGCCCATCAGTCTGGCTTCCCCTTGTCCAAAAATCAGCCTCATCCCTCATTGCCAAGTGTAACTGATGTCTTTTCTTGGCCATAGGAGGGAGCTCTGGAAGGGACAGAAGGCGCGTGTTCCCTAGAGGGCGGGGCAAGGTTATTGCCCACATCCTCTCCCACAGCTCCCACTCTCCTCCCACAACTCCATTTCTTTCCTTCTCACGTCCTACTGCTCATCTTCCTGTCTCCAGGTGTGGTTCAAGAACCGCAGGGCTAAGTTCCGGAAGAAGCAGCGCAGCCTGCAGAAGGAGCAGCTCCAGAAGCAGAAGGAGGCTGAGGGCTCCCATGGGGAGGGCAAGACTGAGGCCCCAACCCCAGACACCCAGCTGGAGACTGCCCAGCCCCCCAGCCTGCCCAGCGCCTGCCCAGCAGGGACCCCCCTGCTGAGCTTCACCTGAGTCTGTCTGAGCAGTCAGCCAGTGAGTCAGCTCCCGAGGACCAGCCAGACCGGGAGGAAGACCCCCGGGCAGGCTCCGAGGATCCTCAAACCGCGAAAAGCCCTGGCGCCGAGAGCAAGGGGCTGGGCTGCAAGAGGAGCAGCCCCAAGGCAGGTGAGCCTGGGCGGGTCCGGGGGCACCCAGCCCAGGGAGAACGGCCAGGTCCAGCTGGACAGGGGCCTGGGTGCTCAAGCGGGGCAGAGGCCGGGGACAGGGGGGCAGAGCCAGTCATTAACACCTGGCACTCTGCAAGACTACATTTGAAAGGACTTGGCCAGAGCAGGCTTGTGTCACGTGTTCACCCTTTAGTTGCTGAATCCTGGGAAGGGTTTGGGGGTCCTGGGAGAGGAGTTGGGTGGCAGAGGAGGGGTACTTGGGCAGCTCAGGGCAAAAACTATTTGTCAACCATTATGGAAATATTCTGGTACTTTAACAACCAGTACAGGCATACCAGTGCATGTGGGGTGAATACCATGGATACCAGAGGTTCCCACATGCAGCAGAGACTCGGAGTTCTTTTTTTAAACAGATCTCTGGCATGAGGTATACCTCAGACACAAACCCTGAGCCTAGGCAGGGAGGGAATGAGGTTGTGATCTGAGAGCTGGAGGGGGATGGGGACCACAGACAGGAGAGGGAAGGGGGAGGTGACAGCCCTTGCAAAGAATAGGCGTCTCCACAAGAAGTCGGATCTGGGGACCTTGGCAGAGTCCCTGGGGCTGCCCTGGAAACCTGTGTCCCTCTGTCTGAGGGCTCTGAGAAGTGCCTCAAGGGATGTACTGGCTGAGATGAGTGGCTATGGTTTTAGTCAAAGCCTGTCTTGTCTGTAGAACCAAGGGGGTGGGAAGGCTGAGGGGCAGGCAAGGCTTTTGCCCTTAGTCCTGGTTCTTGGTTCTTTGCTTGCAGACTCCCCAGGCAGCTTGGCTCTAGCTCCTGCAGCCCCCACTGCTGGCCTCCTGGGCCCCTCCCACTCCTACTCCTCATCCCCGCTGAGCCTCTTCCGTCTGCAGGAGCAATTCCGACAGCACATGGCTGCCAGCAACAACCTGGTGCACTATTCGTCCTTCGAGGTTGGGGGCCCGGCCCCTGCTGCAGCCGCTGCAGCCGCTGCCGCTGTCCCCTACCTGGGTGTCAACATGGCCCCGCTGGGCTCCCTGCACTGCCAATCCTACTACCAGTCCCTGTCAGCAGCCGCTGCTGCCCACCAGGGCATGTGGGGGTCCCCACTGCTGCCTGCACCCCCAGCTGGCCTGGCACCTGCCTCAGCTGCCCTGAACAGTAAAACCACAAGCATTGAGAACCTGCGGCTCCGGGCCAAACAGCACGCAGCCTCCCTGGGACTGGATACGCTGCCCAACTGACTGCTGGCCTCCAACCCAGCTGGGGGGTCTTGGATACTCCCTCCCAGCCCCATGGTTATCCCCAGATGGCTCTCCAGGAGTTAAGTCTATGAGTCCAGGGACCCTGGGGTCTTGGAGTCCTGCTCCTGTTCCCCACCCCAAAATCCCAGCCCTAGGTGAAGCCACACCCTCACTCCCTCTGCATGGCCCTGCTTGGATCCCACAGAGGTGGAATGGGAGGGGGTGGGAGGCTGGAGTGCCCCCCGCTTTCTGTGGGGGAGTGAGGGACTCTCACTGGCTAGATCTCCCCCTCAGTGTTGCCTCCTCCCTTCCCTCCCCACCTCTGTCCCCTAGTAAGTTGATGCGTGGAATGTGAGACATAAGTATAAATATATAACACTATATTTTCAGGCCCTTGCCTGTCCCGGGCCCCCTGCCCTCTGGCTCTCCACTGGCGCCCTGGCCTCTGCCTAGGACTTGTGTTTCTCCCTCCCAGGCTTTCCCTTCTCTCCCTCCCCTTCCTTCTTCCCAGACCTCCTTCTCCCTGCCTTAGTCCTGCTCCCTGCCCCCTCGGCCCAGCGCCTGTCCTCCCCTCTCTGGACCTTCCCCATGTCTCTTCTCCCTGGCCCTGCTTGCTTTCTTCCATGCTGGCTTTATTGGTGTGGTCAATTCCCAAACATGTTTTGTTTGGGGTTGTGGCTTTTAGCTGTAGTAATTCTGCTTCTTCCTGTTCCTCCCCTTCTTCCCTGCCTGCCCGTCTGCTCCCCACACTGGCACCCTCTTGGCAGCTGTCCCTTTCCATCCCTAGCAGAGGTAGAAAGGCCCTGGCTAGGGACCCTGTAGCCAGGAGCTGCAGGCAGAAGGTGGCACTGGCCCCACACCCACCCTCCCCCAGGCCTGGGGTCTAGAAGGAGCCTGAGTCACGTTTGCTTCTCTCTCTTTCCTCAGCTTTGAGGCCCCATGCCCAGGATTGAGGAGGAGGGAAGCAGAGGCAGGAGTCAGGCTGAGGCAGGCTGTAGAATGGCAGCCTCCGTCTTTGTAAGCCCACCAGGACAGAGGCCTGCTGCCAGCACTCATCCAGGACTGACTGCAGGGCTCTAGGCCTCTCTTTGGTGAGACTTCCCTGGCTGGAGGGAGGCATGAAGGGAAAGGGTGCGCCCCAAGTCAGGTCTCTTCAGAGGAATGGGGCAGGACCCCCTACCCGGCAGTGTGTCCACTGCAGGGGTGCATCCAAGCCCGGAAGGAAGGTTGAACTCTAGCTCCTGATCACAGTAAGTGCAAACCACACAGTGATGCGTAGTCTCAGGCTTCTGTTGGCATCTTCTCCTAGAGCCAATTGTTGAGGCAAGGTCTTCTGTCCAGCTAGTCACTGGCACAGAAAGGCATGTTCCTGTTTATGGCTAGGAACCCAGCTCAGTAAACTCCCCTTCAAAGCAGTGTGACCGTGAGTCAGCCTATAGCGTCTCTGGGCCTGTTTCCCCATCTGGAGCAGCTGGCCTGTGACATCCTGTCCAGCTCTAACATTCTGCATGTCTGTACTTACAAAACTTCTTGCAAGGCAGAAGTTTTTAGTCAAACAACAACAATAACAGCAAAAGGGCTCTCAAATGCACAATGTATAAATTAGAAAATTACTGTTGCTTTGCTGTGAAGCAATGGGTATTGTGTGTGCAAGCCTCTTTGTACACAGCCACAGTCTCTGGGCCTTAGTTTCCCAATAGGTATAATAGGTCTCTTCTAGTTGAGATGACCTGGATTTGATCCTGCTTTTTTTGAGTTTCAGTGCCAGCCTCTGTGGTCACCATCTCCATGCCTTCATGTGGTCTCAGGGCAAGGGGAGGGGAGTAGCTTGCACAGATTCAGGGTTGTGATCCCCAACTCTTTGTGGCTCAACATGGAACCCTTTACTTCCTGCTTAGAGAAGCTGCATCTGAACACAACGGTTGTGATTGTCCAGGCTTGTCTCACTGTCCTAGTGGAGTATATTGGTACCTTGGTAGGACTGGTTTGTGGAACAATGGATTCTCATTATCTTTGGGGGTGTCTATCTGGGCTGGCACAGATGGAGAAGGCTTTGGATGGGAAAAAAGTGAGAAGGATGATAGCCTCAGCAAGGAGAGCTGTCTGAACAAAGCAATGGAATGAGACCAAGTGGATGATGGGGAAGCGGTGGGTGGCTTCCTGAGAGGTGGGGCTGAGGGCCTTGAATCCAGGCTAAAGACCTAGCCTCACTGTGACAAGCACCAAGGCAGGCAGGTGAGGGTTTTGGAATGGGGGGATCAGCTGACTTAGGATCTGGGATTTGGAAAATGAATCCCATAGCCTCAGGAAGAAAGAAGAGGAAAGTCATGGGGAAGGGGAGGAGAGGGTGGTGGGAACTCTAGGAGCAGAAGGGATTTTGGGTTTGTCCTCTGGGCTCTGGTCCAGGAAGGTCCGTTTCTGAAATGAAAAGAATCTCATGCAGACCAAGCATTGCGGATTGAAGCCTTTTGCCTTTCACTGGATGCAAATGACTGTCACTGGGCCTTGGAACCTAATAGCTCTAGAGATAACCAGCTCTACAGGAAGCCTTCTCCAGTGCCCTAAGGGGCAAGCCCACTCTAGAGTCATGTTCTCTCATGGCTGGAGCCAGACCCACTCAGGCTTAGCCCAACTTCCCACTGATCTTTGTCAGTAATTCCTCACTCAACTGGCCCAATTCCACCAACCCAGGAAAAGCAGTCGTCAGATCTCAGATCAGCCTAGCTGACGGGACCATCCTGCTACTGAAAGCAGCTAGAGATCAAGAGGAGAGTATCCCACGCATGTCCTACTGGAGGCAGAGGGTATGGGCTTGGGCTGTGCCCACTGAACTTGAGACTGAAGTTGAAAGCCTTCTCCAGGCTGCTGGGACACCCCGAAGCTTGAGCTCTGATGTTCCTTCCAGGAGAGCCTCATTCCTCACCTCTCCCTCCTATTTGAGGTCTCCATTTCCCTGCTTCCTCACTTCCCCCGACTGGGTCCAGGGGCCCAGGCCCCCATCTGGACTCTGCAGCCAGTGGCCTGTGTAGACTGCTTTCCAAACCAGCTGTTTTGTGACCATTTGTGCTTAGAGGTCATGCCGGGCCGTGGCAAAAACACTGTGTACCATATTTATTTATTCTGTTGGCTGAAAAAACAAGACTCAAATCTCCCTTCCCTTGCCCCGCCCTCTGCGTAGTGCAGCATGACACTGTCCCGTGTATCCGTCTGTCTGTCTGATTTCCTGTGATGTTGTGGCCTGTTCTTTGTCCTACCTGGCTAATAAAAGAGAATCTGGCAGCACAGCCCTTGTTCCAGGTTCGTTCCTAGAGAAGCTCGCAGTGGGCTGACTGGCCGTGTCTCAGGGCCTGTTCACTGCCTCTCCAGTGGGGAGGGAGCCAGGCTGCCTCACAATGGGCTCCCCGGAGCCCACCTTGTTGCTCTCTCCATGACCCTCACCTGTCTGCAGCTCACATGCCCCTCTGGAGTGGTCTCAGGGAGCAGAGGGACCAGGCGAGAGGATGGCTCCCTCTTCTCCGGGCTGACTGGACCTTACCCAAGCACATGGAGCAGAGAGCGGCCGGGGAAGGTACCTTGGGGAATTCAGGGAGCCTGGTGGGGGGTGGCCACACGGGACTGCGAGGGGCAGAGGATTCTGTAGCAAACAGCCAGTAAGCCTGGGCCAAAGGGAACGAGAGGGAGGCACATTTGGATCTAAAATCAGAGCTGCTCTCCAATGGGATGGGAGGCCTCTGGAGGGAGTGAGCTCCTTGTCCTCAGAGATGAGCAGGCAGAGAGTGAAAATAGGGATTTCTCCCATGGCAGGATGGATTAGAGATTTATAAAGGTCCCTCCAGCTCAGGGTGAGGTGTGTGTGTGTGTGTGTGTGTGCGCGCGCGCGCGGGGGTGTGTGACACATGCATGTGTGTTACCATGCATGAGCAAGAAAGGGAGCGGGAGACTGAGACTTTGCATATAGGCAATAACTCAGAAAAAGGATGCAACTAGGAAGTTCTTGCTGTGAAATCTTGGTCCTTCCTGCTTCATTCCAAGAAAAAGATGGCAGGTGATCTAGTGTGTGACACATGCATGTGTGTTACCATGCATGAGCAAGAAAGGGAGCGGGAGACTGAGACTTTGCATATAGGCAATAACTGCAGAAAAAGGATGCAACTAGGAAGTTCTTGCTGTGAAATCTTGGTCCTTCCTGCTTCATTCCAAGAAAAAGATGGCAGGTGATCTGCCCTACTCAGCCTTCACCACCCTTCCCAAGGTTTCCAGAGTGTCTGCACTGGGCCCTGAGCCAGAAGGGGTGGCATAAGCTTGGGGCCGAGGTTTGGAGGGGTGGAGGGTGAGAGTCCCGTCTGGAGATTTCCTCGTAGGAGAATCCCACCCAGCCGACCTGAGCTGGGCTTCCGAGGGGTATGGGCCTCAGGCTGCAGGAATCCAGGGAGGGCTTGACCTTCCCATTTCCCAGGAGATGCATTCCTTTCTCCCCAGGGGGGCTGAGGATTAGGGTGGGAGCACCCCCATTCACCTGCCTCCCTACCTCCCTGGGGGTGCTGGCAGATCAAATGTCTGCCCCAATCTCCAACTGCCAGACCTGAGCCACTTCATGCCTCCTACACACTTTAGCCCCACATTTCATACCTTCCCTGGTGTAGAGGGTGACCTGGTAATCCTGCAATTCAAATCACTCATCCACTCAGCACTTCTGAACACCTGCTGTATGCCTGGCCCTGTTATGGGTGGTGGGTATATAGAAATAACTAAGGAAAACACAAACCCTACTCTCAAGACAGTTACAATACAGGGTAATTTGGGGTTCAAAAATAGAGAGCTATTGGAGTACAGAAGAGGGAGCCCTAGCTCAGGCTGGGGAGTGGGGTCGAAGGCCCCTTGGGAGGGAGACTTTTGAACTGAGTGCCATAGGTCCAAGAGAGAAGGGTGTCTCGGGACAGACACAGCACATACAAGGTGGCAGGACTGACTGGCAGGTGAGGCCCTGAGCCTGGAGGAGCAAGGGGCCTGTCTAGGTGGGGCTCTGAGGGGAAGTAGTGACAGGGGTTGAAGATGGACAGGACTATGGGGGACACTGGAAGCTAATCCCAGTGAGGGAGTGGAGTGATCAGACTTGTAGTTTAGTAAATCCTCTCCACCCCATATCTTGGCTGCGTGGCGGTTCCTTGAGGAGACAGGGAGCCCAGTGGGAGGCGCCTGTCATGTCCTGCTGGCCTGGGGGAGAAGAGGAGGGGAGAAGTGGTCAGACGGGTGTGAGATTTAGGAAGCAAAATTACTGTGGTGACTGTAGGCATTGAGGGGCTCAAGGTGTGCCGAAACCTCGGGCTTGGCAACCTGGTAGATGGGGACCCTGGACTGGGGCGAGGTGAGGCAGTGAGCCTGCGCTCAGGCCAGTCTCATCTGCTGCATGTGAGAAGCCTTCCATTCATTCAAGGGAAGATGTTGGGATGTAGTGAATCAGAGCTCAAGAGAGAGGTCTATTTGCACTGCTGACTCAGATTTTAATTTATTTAACAAATACTTATGGGCACTTTTTCTGTGCCTGGCACTTTACAAATATTAAGTCACTTAATCCTCAACAAATCTGTGGTACTTAATATTATTATCTCCATTTTACAAATGAGGAAACTGAGGCACAGAGAGGTTAAATAACTTGCCCATGACCACACAGCTAGTAATAGGCAATGGAGGTGTGACTCTGGCCGGCCTCAGGGAAGTACTGGCCAGGAAACAAAGAAGATGCCATTGCAGATTTGGGACAAGCTACTCCAGCTTGCTTTTGCTGTGGGCTGAGAACAGTCCCCTCTGGCCCTCAGTATCCTCTCATGTTGAATGGGAATCATTAACCATGTCAAGCCTGCTTCCTGGGAGGCTCAGATGACTAAGAGGAGAAGGGCTTGGGGGAGGCCAAGGGGCTGCATGCCTGGCATACAGTAGGTGCTCAGGCTGCCTATGGTGGGTGAGATGAGAGGCAAGGGGCTCCCTGAAGCTTCACCTCACACCTCCTTCTCTGAGGCCTCGGCTCCAGTGCTCTTTTAGTCCAGGGGTCTGGTACCTCAGGGACTCTGGGGAAGGGGCACCTTCTGAGAGGGTCCTGGAGATGGACCCTTTTAGGGCAGGTACCCCTGGGCACCCCCTCTCCCCTCCTTTCCCACAGAGCTGCCCAGGACTGAGCACTACCAGATACCCCTCCCCAGTCTTTCATTCGCCTCTGTCTTCTGGGAAAGCCGATTAGGAGGCAGCCTCCTGCCCGCCCTCCTGACAAGTTTGTCTGAACTTCAACAAAGGCTCTCAGAAGGCTGTGGAGGGAGGGCCCGGCACTAGGAACCTGACACCACTGGCCCGGCATCACCCCAGCAGCCTAGGAGGAGGCTCTGTGGGCCTGCCTACCCTATGGCAGGCAGGAATGTCTCTGAGAGGGCTCCTGGCCCCATGAAGGCCTGGGGGCTGGGCTGGGGCAGGCTGGGGACAGCTTCACCTGGGAGCCCCTCAGAACAGGGAAGGCAGCACAGGCCAGTGCCCAGGAGGGTGGGTGGGGAGATTCATCCATCCTCACACAGAGCCACGCACACATGATCCACACATTTCCAATTACACACAGCCTCCCCACATTTGCAACCACACACACTCACCCACACATCCCCTTTCTCATACACTGTGACAGGCTGACTTCTGAACTGGATCACACAATCTCAGGGTGTCTGTGTGTCTCCTACTCATATTCACACACCCCCAAACAAGCCTTGGACACAGCCCACAGTCTGTCACCTGGATGCTCCACCCAACACCCCCTGTCCAGACATGCATTCTTCCTGGCTTATACTCCAGACAGGTGCCCCCCGAACATACAGTCCTCCCTCGCCACACCGCCGGCCTGGCACCCAGAGATTCTCCCTGATCGCCGCCCTGTCCCTGCTGAAAAGACTGCTCGAATGCCGGGCCCAGCTCCGCTTTCACATCCTAGCTCCTGACCCACACCTGTCTGCATGCACTGTCCTCCCTGTCTTCATTGGCATGTGACCTATGTAGTCACACAGAGCCCTGGGCTCACGCCCCATAATATTCTGGTGTTGCCATCTTGAAATCCTTAACTTTTTAACAAGAGGCCTTGCATTTTCCTTTTGCATTGAACTCTACAAATTATATAGCTGCTCTCACTCCCTCGTCTCAGTTTCCCTCAGTCTGACTCACCTGGCCCTCCTGTGGCTTCACAAACTCAGTCTCCAGAAAGCCCTCAGCTTCTCCCACCTGCCCAAAGTCTCCCCTCCCTTACAGCTGTCCACCCTGACACTCACCAGGCAACTGGTAGGGACACACTGACTTCTCCACACCTCCTCGCAGTGTGAGCTTGTGCCCTCACAAGAGCTTGTGTCCTCCTCTGTAAAATAGGCTAGAGTGACACCAACTTCAGGGTTCTTTGTGAAGATTAAATGAAATAGCATCTGTAAAACAGCACAAAACCTGGGGTTTAGTAAATGCTCAACAAACGCTTGTTATCATGGCTATTATGACACTAAGTGCTGGCAAACAAAATAGACTCAGCCCCTGCTGCTATATATTGGATAAAATAAAAATTACTTGAATAATCACATACATAATGTAAAGTAGCAGGCATGAATGAGGAGCACAGGCCTCTGACCTCTCAGGGCTACAGCTAACAGGAGAGGCAGAGACTGGGATTAGGGATCAGTCTGGAATTGGGAGAGGGATCAGTCTGACGCTAAGGTCAGGGATCAATCTGGAGTAGGGGACGGAGTCCAAGCTCTGTGTGTGGCTGGGATCTTGGATCAGGGATCAGTTGGGGCCTGAGGCAGGGCTCAGTCTAGGCAAGTCACAGCTCAGTCAGAGCTCAGAGTTGGGGCTCAGGATGGGATCATGACAGGGCTCAGTTTGGGGCAGAGCTGAGCTAAATCTGTGACTGGTGCCAAGTCAGTTTCATTTCTAAAGTTAACTCTGTGGGACCATTTAGTAAACTGTTAGGCTTCCATGAACCTCTGTTTTATATCTGTAAAATGGGGAGCTCTCTGCCTGCCCCCAGACTTGGGGAACTGAGTGAGCTAACAATGGAAGTGAAGGATTAAACTGCTGCTAATGACTGGGAGCCTGGTCCCTGGGGCTGTCCTCCCCCAGCCAGGCCTGGAGGCTGTGCCATCCTTGCGCATGTCTCCAGCTGCAGGAAGCCACCACCTCAGCCTGGGATGCCTTCCAAGAGGAGCCTTTGAACAACAAAGGCCAGGGAGCGATATTTCCTCC